ACGGGCAGCTGGGCGGGGACATCCTCTGTCACAGGAGTAGCCGTGGGAGTACGGGCACCAGCATGGGCACTGGGGACCACGTGTCAACGGGGGCGGACGTGCCAGCCGCAGAGCTTTGCCAGAGCCCTCAGTGCCATGACACTGTACACTAAAAACCAGCTCATGTGGGGGACCTTTATGCTGCGGATTTTACCACAGTTAAGATGAAGTAAACCAGCTGGGCACACGCTGCCTGTCATCCCAGCACTGGGGAGACTGAGGCAGAAGGATCTCAAGTTCAAGCCCAGCTGGGCAATTTAAGGACTTAACGAGACCTTGCCTCAAAATAAAGGAAGGGGCTGGTACATAGCTCACGCTGCAGCCGGGTGTATTGTGAAGGAACCCTGGTCGTGGCCCCTCCTGGCAGCTGGACTGCACGGCCGGCCCGTGGACGAGGTGACCACAGTGCCAGACGCAGAGCCCTGGAGGAGGAGGTGCCGGCTGCTGACCTGGCCACTCTCCCCGGTCCTCTCCTCAGCCAGCAGCAGGCTGGGACAGCAGTGCAGCCATTGTCCTTGGGGCGCTCAGGGGACCCAGTCAGGGGTCTCCCTGCTTCCCCCGCTGGGGTGAAGTCCACCCATGGGTGGCTGGTGACACGGTGGGCACAGCCCTTCCCGAGCTGTGAGGCCTCAGGAGATGTCCATTGTGTCTGCGGGTCCTTTAGTTACGGAGCCTGAAATGAGAACTTCATGTTCTTTTCACAAAGCGGGAAATGCTGTTTTTCTTTCACTTTTTGTAACCATTTAAACATGTAAGGCTGGGCGCGGTGGTGCACACCTGTAATCCCGGCGTGCTGGGAGGCTGAGGCAGGAGGACCACACACGTTCAAGCCCAGCCTGGGAAATGTACTGACTTAGGGAAACCCTGTTTCAAAATAAAAATACCAAGCGCTGGGGATGTAGCTCAGTGTGATCTTAGTGGAATCCCCAGTGCTGTAAACAAAACAAACAATATCAAAACCAAGAAACCCACAGATGTTTACTGTCGTGCTTAGTAAGAGTGGGAGGTGTTTCTGGATTTGTAGGGCACTGGGTCAGCATCTGTGACTGTGTTGGCCTCGTCCTCATGGTCCCGTGGTGGCTGCCACAGCACCACACATCACACCCTCACACGACATCATTCAAGACCAGAAGAGAGGGACATAGCAATAGGAGGGCTCTGTGGAGATCTTTAATTGGAAGAGGAACTTTCCTCAGCCGTCACCAACAGACTTCCTGTTGGGATGGGGTTGCAGGCCTGACCGATCTCAAGCCTTTAGAAATGCAGGGCCTCCTGTCTGATACCCAACCGCGCTGGGCTTCTTGTGGGAGGAGGGGCAGCGATGGCCCCGGTGGGCAGTGAGGCTGGCGGCCGTGTGTCCTTGCCTATTTACTGTGTGGCCTGGCATGATCGTGGCTGCACCCTGGTCACAGGACTTTCTCCAACGCATGAACCACAAGCTCACGAGCTGGGAAAGAGTGAAAGAGGGCCGGCGAGGGAGGAAGGAGTGCGTTCCCCGGCCTCAGCCCCGGTACCGAGATCTGGTGCTGCTTGTTCACTGGGCGGCCCAGGCACCACGTGGGGCACCACGTGAGCTCCCTGGCCCGTGGCCGAGTCCAGCGTCCACTTGAAGAGAACGGAAGTCTCAGTCCGAAGGGTTTCTTCCTGGCGAATGCTACATTGGAAATTTTAAGTGGTTTGGTTTGTTTGAGAGAGGGTCTCACTATGTAGCCCGGCTGACCTCAAACCTGTGGCAACCCTCCTGCTTCAGCTTCCTGAGTGCTGGGATCACAGGTGTGCCCACCACTCCTAGCTTCAGTGGTTTTTAGGAGCTTATTCTGAAGGGTTTCGTCTGTTCGTGTCCCAGGAACTCACCTGGTTTGAAGCTGCTCTGTCCCATGCTGCCAGCCTGCCAGGGCCCCAGACCTGCGAGGCCCCCCAGCCTTCTTGGAGTGAGGCTCGGCTTCATGTTCCCAGCCCTGGGGACCTGGCAAACTGTGTCAGAGGTCAGGGAGACAGCGGTGCTGGACGAAGGGGCTTGCTGGGAACAAAGTGTCCCCTGGACACAGCGCCGCCTCCCTGTGGTCTGTCCTGTTTCTCCTGGGGCTGAAACAACAGATTAGAAGGTGGGCGGCATCCTGGGAGGGGCCTCCTCTGCCCTCTGAAGAGGGGTGCTGAGCGGCCACATCACACTGGTCTGCTGCTGGGGTCCCCCGTGTCTGAGGGGCTGGCAGGCTGCGCCCCGGGATGCCCACGCCCCACCCAGGGGACCTGTGGATCTGTGGCCTCGCGTGACCGAGGGGCTTCGCAGGTGCAGCAGCGGACAGAAGTGAGGGTCACAGGGAGCCGAGGAGGAGGAGCTCGGGGCCACTTCTGGGAGCAGCCGGGGAGGGCGGGGTCCCCTCAGTGCCGGCCACTGTGTCCCATAGCGGTGAGGAAACCAGCAGGTTGAGCCCACTTCCGAGAGGTCAGGGTGGTGACAGCCCAGCACATCCTGGCTTTTCTTAAGCGATACAGTGACACTTGTAATGCTGTTTGCAGCTTTCACTCACCTACTGCTGCAGTTTCCAGTACTTTAAAAACTATTTATTTAGGGCCGGGGATTTAGCTCAGTGCCACTGTGCCTGCCTCACAAGTGCAAGGTCCTGAGTTCGATCTCTGATACCAAACAAAACAAAACAAAACTATTTATTTAGCTTTGCAGTAGCAGGGATCGAACCTGAGGTCCTCACCCTGAGCTGTTTCCCCAGCCCTTTTATTTTTCACCCTGAGATAGGGTCTCACTAAACTACTAAGTTGCCCAGGCTGGGCTCAAACTCGTGACCCTCCTGCCTCAGCCTCCCAGAGTGCTGGGATCCCCCTTAAGCATCGCTGTGCCTGGCTGACGCTCACCCTTTCCAAGCTCGCGGTGGGACGAGTGTGAGCACGTGCGTCCCTCACCCACACTCAGGACGGCCCCTCTGCCTGCCGGCTGCAGAGGCTGTTGTGTGCAGCGTCGGGCACTGCCTGGAGGGACCTGGCCTTCCACTGGGTGACGTCGGGGTGTGGGCGCCCCCTTGTTCTGTCACTGTTCCAAAAACACCCTTGTCCCGGTGGACGCTTGGGCGGAGGGCTCCTTCTCCTAGCAGCTCCCCAGATTGGTCCCCGTTTCCTTTCCCTTCTAGAACCCCGCCCAGCATCCCCTCCGCTGGCACCCTCCTGTCCACTAGACATGGCCCCAGCGGGAAGCCGGCACCGCCTCCCCGCCCCACCTCGCGTCCCTGGCTGTGACCTTGGCCCTTGGCGGGGGCTGGGGTGGCAGAGCCAGCCGCAGTGGGGAAGGCCGTGATGCCCCGCAGTGCTGTTATCTAATTGGCCGCCCAGTCCTGGTGTCCCCGGTCGGCCGGGACTGGTGCTGACCCTGCTGGCCAAGGACGGGCAAAGTCTGCCCACTAGTCGGGGATGGGGCGGTCACCTCCTCCTGGTGCTTGCAGGTCACCTCCGTGTACCCGGGGCCTACCAGACCCCCTGCCTGCCCACTCAAGGAAGAGCCTCGGCCCTGTTCCCCTGCCCCCCACCCCTGTGTCAGAGCCAGGGTGGGCAGGCGGGGGGCGGGGACGGCGTCGTCATGGGACCCGGCCTCCTGTGCCAGGCCCGGTGGGGTGGGGCGGTCGCCTCTCGGGGAGGACAGCATAGAGCCTGTGATCTGCCCTCTTCCTAGGTTCTTCAGGGTGCTGGGCTTTTAGTTTTTGTGCTTTTGCAGCTCTGGGCATTGGATGCTGGGCCGACAAGGCAAGTGTCTCCCAATGAGCCTCAGCCCTTTTCATGTCGAGACATGGTCTTGCTCAGTTGTCCAAGGCGGGCTTGAACTTGGCATCTCCCTGTCTCAGCCTCTGGAGCAGCTGGGGTTATCGCTTGTTTGTGGTCTTAGTGAGACACGCTTCTCGCCTGTCAGCTGTCCCCTACACAGCTTTGGTGTCCTTGGAGCTGTGTCTTTCCTCCATCCAGGGTAGAGTGGCCTGGGCCATGGGCATCCACCCACCCCCTCATCCACACCCTGCCTAGTGCTGTGCCAGGCCCCGGGGTAGCAGTGCCCGAGCCTGGGTCCGCTCTCTGGTGCTGGCCCAGCCCCGAGGCCATCCCGGGCCAGGCTTGAGTCTGAGGACCATGTTCTGCAGGGCGGCCTTGCTGGGAGGGGCTGGTCCCTTAGGCAGGGGAGCCAGGGAGGCTTCCCGGCGAGGCGGTGGGGACAGGACGGACACCTGAGTCCCAGGCAGAGGGGCCTGCAGTGCGTGGGCTCCAGGCCTGGTGAGCTGGGGGGGTGGAGCTGCGGTTGGCGGGTGTGGGGAGCCGTCTGGGGCAGACAGGTCAGCTGCAGCCTGGCTCACGCGCCTCCTCCCCCACCTCCACAGCCTCCGTCGTGCCTCAGTTTCCTGGTCTGTTGCATGGAGACGGCGGTGGATGCCAAGGCGCTGGCCAGGTGGGGCGGCACCCGGGGCCTCACAGTGCGGCCACGGGCCTGTCCGGCCCAGTCTCCATGGCACCAGGGAGTGGGGCGGCTGCGCTTTCGCCGTGGCAGAGCTGGGCCTCCCACCTGCCCCCGCACGGCTCACCCCGATGGGCGCCACGGCCAGACCCTGTCCTCCTCTGGAAGGAGCCCGTGGG